GAAATGAGAAACCAAACCCTAGGTTGGACCCTTGGCTGTCACCCAAGGTTGCCCTAAGCTCTGGAAAATATCCTAAATTTAGTAAAGAAGAGAAAAGGTTCAAAAAGTGTAAGTCGTCCCTACCCTAATTTGGTAAAAATCTATTTATACTAAAGCTGGCGCCCTCCAAAGTAGTTACTCTCATTCTTTCATAGTAAACACGCGCAGCATCAGTTGAGTTTTGCCTCTCTGGAGTGATTACTATGAATATTCATAGTAATCACGCGCAACACTGGGACATTTTGGACTCTCTGGAGTTGTCACTATGAATTTTGATAGTAACTACGTGCAGCACCTTCAGTTCTGCATGCTCTGGAGTGACTACTATGAATATTCATAGTAACCACGCGCAAGTTTGGTTGATTCTGGGCTACTGTAGTTGTCACTTTAAGCTTTGAAAGTGATCACTTTGGTCCCTTTGCTGGAAGTGACTTGCTGTAGTTGTCACTATCAATATTGAAAGTAGTTACTTTCACCTCAAATTCCTCAAAATCCAATAATTCTTCAAAATAAGCTTGGGGATTCCAGCCATATTATTCAAATGATCAAAATATGTAAAATAAACTATCTAAATTCACGTAAATTAACAAAAACTAAGAAAGCTATATTATTTAGCCTAATTGGAATATTCATCTTATTTACACTATCTAAGTCTATTCTTTTCTATAAAAAGTAATAAATTCTCTATTAAAATCAAGAATTTAGTTTTATTAAGATAAAGATCACTGTACAAGATATATCTAAGTTCAAAAGAATATTTATTCTAAATTTGTTTTTGTAATCATGAGTTACGGCCAGCACCAAAACATACAGATTTAATTGGACTGACTTAATTGTTGGAGAATCCACAATATTCTCGTCCATGATTTTTTATAAATTGTTCATAATTTCTATAAGTAAGACTGAGTAATGTCTTATCCAGTACATGTATATATACATATACGTATAATTAACCGTAGGTAGTTATTTATTTAAATGTATATAGTTATACTTAACTGTAGAAGTACAACAGTGTTAGTTTATGTAACTTATTAACCGGTATTGCTTAATTGTAAGAACTTTCTTAATTGTACATATACATGTATGTATAATTAACCGTAGGTAGTTATTTATTTAACTGTATATAGTTATACTTATTTGCAGAAGTAACGAACGGTATTAGTTTTATGTAACTTATTAACTGACAAACCGTTGCAACGGACATAGTATCTCAAGACGTTTCCATTAATCGGGTCTATATAAACTATGTGGATCTTCACCTCAGGACATAATATCCCTTTTTGTAGTCTAGATTAGATCAGTGATATCGCTTTTTTTTGTTCTTCTTGAGAATAGATGGTTGAATACATGTCTTCCTCCTTTATAGATTCTACACCTGAGTCTCAACGTTGGTTTCTCTCTAGAGAGGTTCCCTGTTTTAATGGAACCGATGCACAAGGATGGATCTATAAGATATCTCATTTTTTATTTTACTATCGTCAAATTCCGAAAGCTGTATGTGTCAGAGTGGCTTCATTTCATTTGGATGGAGAGGCACTTTCTTGATTTAGATGTATGGAGAATCAAAGTCAAATAATTGGCTGGCACCAGTTTCTCCACGAGGTTAAAGCTCAGTTTGCCCCAACAGTTAATGTTGCAGAAACCCAAGGTAGACTGTCTATTTTGAGACAGTATACTAATACAGTTGCTAATTATATACGCGAGTTTAAGACACTCGCCAAAATTATAGAAAGATCACACGACATTCTTTTGAAGCATTTTATCAACGGATTGCGTTTCGATGTTTGCAATGAAGTCACAACATATCGTCTTGTAACTCTGCGAAAAGCTGTAAATCATGCTCGTAGGTACAACGAGCCACCATCTTTTTGGTATAAGTGGTATATGTGGTTAGCTAAATGGACAACCATAGTCTTCATCTTCCTCCCACTGATGGCAGTAGCAGCAGGTATGATCTATTGGAAGATATTTAGCCAACCCAATTAAGTGTGTTGGTGCTCGTCTACATAACTCTTTGGAACAAAAGTTCTTGTAAAGTGATCTCTAAAGTAATAAATTTTCATTTTCAGTGTTTTTACTAAATTTATATTTTAATTATATTGTGTCGTTACTTCTCGAGGTTAAGTAAGTTTAAGAAAGTTCTTGCAGTTAAACAATACCAGTTAATAAGTTACATAAAACTAATACCGTCTGTACTAATAACTGCCTACGGTTAGGTAGGGTTAAAAAAGTTCTTACGGAAGCAATACTGGTTAATAAGTAACATAAAACTAATACCGTTTCGTACTAATAACTACTTACAGTTAGGTATAACTATGTATTTTATCAACCGTTAACAATATATTTTTAAAAAAAATTAAAATGATGTTAAAATAAATATAATTATTTTATACTTTTTTTTAGTGTTTTATTTTTAAAATATATTTAATATTTATACTAATTATCACTATTATTGTATTATTACTGGTCTTTAGTTACTTGAAATTTTTAGTAAGAATCATATTTATAATGAATAAATTTAAATAAAAATATTATTCAAATATAATATTAATCCTTTTATTATTTAACAGTATATATTAAAACACATTTTTAATAAAAATCGTCTCAAAGAATGTTAAAAGTATCTTGAATTATTTTTTAACTTAAGTTTTAAAAAATAACCTTTAAAAAAACTCGAATATAGTTTTATTTGTAAATTTATGGTATATATTAAAACTCATTTTTAATAAAACTGTCACGGTTGATAAAAACCGTTGCAAAAAATGATAAAAGTACCTTGAATTATTTTTTAATTTAAGTTTTAAAAAATAACCTATAGAAAAGCTCGAATATAGTTTTATTTATAAATTTATCGTATATATTAAAACACATTTTTAATAAAAACCGTCACTAACGGTTGATAAAAACCGTCACTCACAATTGATAAAAACCGTCGCAAAAAATGATAAAAGTATCTTTAATCATTTTTTTAATTTAAGTCTTAAAAAATAACCTATAAAAAAACTCGAATATAGTTTTATTTGTAAATTTATCGTACTAATACTACTTATCTCTGCATAAATAAGTATATATGAAATTAACATGTCATTTTTTTAATATTATTTTTAAATTATGTCTTATTACTTTTTATAGTGTTTATAAATTTATTAATTTAAAAATCTCTTAAAATTTACTCTTTATCTCCTACTATAGTTGTTATATATTTTTGTTTTATACTAAAATAACTTTACTATAGTTATTATATATATTTTAACATTTGATTTAATATTTTAAAAATATAATTTTTATATTTATTATATTTATATATTTTAATATTCTATAATAAAATAAAATAGACATAAATGTTGAATAAATATAATTTTAATGAAAGAAAATTATCTTTAAAATTAAACCAATTAAATATGTAAACAACTTATTAAAAATTAATTAAAGTTGATTAATTGGTCAATCTTCTTCTCTATTAAAATCAAGAATTTAGTTTTATTAAGATAAAGATCACTGTACAAGATATATCTAAGTTCAAAAGAATATTTATTCTAAATTTATTTTTGTAATCATGAGTTACGGCCAGCACCAAAACATACAGATTTAATTGGACTGACTTAATTGTTGGAGAATCCATAATATTCTCGTCCATAATTTTTTATAAATGTTTCATAATTTCTTTTTAACAGGTCCATAGTTTAATTAAGTTTTTATTTAATAAATTTATTTTATACAAGAGTTTATACCATTATTTGGATCATAAAATTTATTAAAATTTAAAAAAAAAGTATGTTTTGATAAATTATACAAAAAAATTTATTGATCCATGTTAAAAATAATTTAACAGGTATTAAATATTTCCATTAGATACATATAAAATGTTTCACATTCTTCCAAAGTGTATGTAATGCATGACAGAAATTTTGATTACTTTAACCATGAGTGTATGCCGATAGTTTATAGCATTGAAAAAGTTTTAAAAAAACAACTGTTAAAACTTCCCGAATAAAGAACAATAGGATTGAAACTTAAAAAAGAGAATAAAAGTTACTTTAAAAAATGAGAAAATATTTTATTCAACTAGTACGAAACAATGTCAACATGTTATTTAAAGTTATTAATACTGTAAAGTTCATTTTAATGTTAACATGCTTTAATTCTTTTATAATAAAAATTTTCAATGCTAAACTTACATTATTTTGTTTAAATTTAGTAAAATAATTTAATCAAATTATTTGTAAAAAAATTATAATTTCAATAATCTAAAGGTGCTTGACAAAACCGTTAGAGAAAAAAACGATCAATTCTAAACAAAATTTGAGTAAATTAAGGTAAGTTTGATTTCTGTTTTCAAAACAATTTTCTGTTTCTAAAAATAAATTCTAATACAAATTTGTTTGGAAAATAGAAAACTGTTCTAAAAACAAAAAACTATTTTGAAAACGAAAAACTGTTTTAAAAACAGAAATTAAACAAATGAACTTAGTTTTTGGAACGAATATTTACTTGCAATTTCATTTTCGAACTACGCGCGCCAGTTTAACTATACCTTACTCTTTGAAATTTATAAATTGAATAATATCCATAACAACTAAATGTAGAGCAAATCTATACGCAGAAAATAATTTTAAAAAATGAATATGTAGGGCTTCATTTGTTTTAAAAAAAAAAAGACACGTTTAACATATTTCTCAAAAAAATTTTAAAAAAATATTTTTCATAATTAAATTTTCTTTTTTGATCAACCCATGATAAATCTTTTTTTTTTATTAATCTTTTTTTATTTTACTAATTTAACTATCACTTAAAAAAATACACTGGGCCCATAGCAATGCTGGTTCAAATTTCTTTTTTAGGGCCTCAAACATTTTGTTGAGCCAGCACTCTTTTGTTGTGCTGAGAGAGCAACCTGTGTTTCACGGGCAAGTCACTTTCACTGTTACCCTGTAAATTAGGGTTTGAATTGTTTGTTTTCCTGTTTCGCTCCATTGAATACCATGAAAAATCGGGTGAGGATAAATGAAGAAGAATGAGGAACTCAGCAACCGATTCGACAAGGCAAAGGAAAAGACGATGATGATGATGAAGAAGAAGAAGATGAAGAACATGTCAAGGTTAGGCGGGAATGGGCTTTCGCTCAACGCTTTTGCTAATGCGAAATCTAAGAACAATCCTTATAACCCATCTCTCATAAGTATGCAACTTTCTCCTTTTTCATTAGGTTGCTTCTTTGTTTTTTTCATATTTCTGTTACACTCAAAGTTCATGAAAAACCATCTTCAATGGAATGGAACCAAGCCGAGTGTTTTTCTTTTAACAGTGTGGTAATAACGAATGTTCTTGTGTAAATTATTACATGAATAAATAAGTTCATTCATATAATAAGTAACAAGAGAAATATTAGTAACAACTCTTTATTATTCGCTAAAATTTATTAAAAATCACGAGTTTCATTGATTCTCACTCGAACTTTTGTAGTTTTTAATGAAGTTTAGTTAATAGCAAAAGAGCACCTTGACACTCCTCAATAAGAGAAATAATAACTTTTAGGACTTGACACTACAATTTTTATTTTTTTGTGTATTCTTAAGGCTTAGTGTTACCTGTGATGACAACGGTAGTAGTTAAGGAGGCAAAACATTTTTAGCTTATCAGACAAATTGGGATGTGTTGCCATATTTTGCATAAGTTCCTTTGTTATGTAATATACTGTTGCACCATTCTCAAGGATTTGTCTCTTCTTTTTTTCTTTTTTTCTTTTTGTCAGAGAAGCAAAGGGAGTTCTATAAGAATGCTAAGAATGTGAACAAGTTTAAGAAATTGTTAAAGCAGCAACACCTGCAGAGTGATCACTGCTCAACCCAGAGTCTTATTGAGGTTTGACTTCTGAGTTCTGATTTGTCTTTCTAGGAATGTTTTAATTTCAATGTTCGAAAGGAAGAATTGAAGCTTAACCTTTGAATTATTGATGTATCTTGTGTTCTTTATGCATTAATAATATTCAGAATTTCAGATGATTGCCAAAGTGGGGCGTAGCTTAAGAATTAGTACTGGTTCTCCAAATTTATGAATTGTGCTATTGATTGTGTATATTCCAGTGTGTATTTTAAAAAACTCTGTTTATTGTGCTTTCTGTTTATTGTTATAGAATGAGAACGAACCTAAAGAGGATAAGGATATGAGTGAGGGGAGAAGGAAGAAGAAAATTAGTGCCTTCAGTTTGGAAGAGTTGTACAAGAAGCAGCATGTGGAGAAAGAGAAAGAAAGGATGGAGAGAGAGGCATTTGTTAGGGCAAAGAAAGAAGAGAGAGAAAAGGCTGAAGCTCGGAGAAAGGCCATGCGAGAGAAAATGCTTAAGAAGACACGAACTGGGCAGCCTGTTATGAAATACAGAATAGAGCATCTTTTGGAGTCCATTCAAGGTTCAAATAAAATCTCAGCTGACAAGAAATCTTGATTTTTGTTGGGGAAAAAAAGGTAGTTGTAGAGAATATCACTTTTATTGAATTTCATCAGCGTAATCACTTTTATACTTGATAAATTTAGTGCTATATTATTGGTAGAACAGTTACTGAGGAACCATGTGCTGCATAAGTGGGAAAATCTGGATTATTGTAAACAGTTGTGCAGTCTTCTGTGCTGTTCATCAATATTTCTATATTCTGTACAAGTATTAGTCGGCATTTTTATGGTCAATAGATGAAATAGTTATCAATGTCATGTTTCTTTCTAATTTTGCATGAAAATGTGTGCCAGTATTTGTTATGTAGGCAGCTGCGATGGATCCGGATTCAGTGCAGTCTGCACGGGAACTGCACCGTGCATTTAGGCAAAATTTTATATTTTTGCTTAAGTGAAAATAAAAAATCACGTAACGAGACGGTGCAGTTAGTGCACTGAATCCGGATCCAACTGCGATCGATGACCGCATTGTAATTTAGCTAGCATTTGCACGAGAATATACTATCCTTTAAATATCATGAATAATGCTTATCATATAAGGATTTGTTGGAGTGGTCCGAATGGACTTTACATATAAAAGTTTTTGATACTGTTTACTAGAAATTATTTTAAAAGTTATATTTAAGGTGTCATTTTATTAGTTGATTAAGTAAAAAAAAAAAAAAACTAAATGTTGTATTAAAGTTAAACTCATCATATAACCACTCTTGAACTAAATGTTATTTTATAACTCAGCATATATATATTAATTAGTGAGTCTAAAACTTCAATACTTATACTAATTTTTTATAAAATATAAGATTAATAATTTAATCATTAATTTGAAGGTAAACTAAGTCAACTTTATAAAATTTATTAAAAAAAATTATTATATAGTTCATTGCATTAATTTATTCCAACAGATAATGTATTTTTAAAATATAAATAAATATTAAATTTTCAAAAATACATTTACAAATGTCTAAATTATATAAAATTTGATATACATAAATAAAAACATAATATAAGGTGATTCAACTATTGTGATTAATTTTAAATTTAATAAAAAATTATTAAATAATATAAGTGTTTAAATTTAGCATTTAGTGTTGATCGATCTTAACTCTATATTAATAAATAACTTATACATTGCACTAACATAAATTTGCCAAAATTTTGAAATATATGTTAAAAATTTGGAGAGATGAATGCAGTTAATTTAAATAAATAAGAAAAAATTATAAATAACTCAAATTTAAAAAGAAAAGAGAAAACTAATAAAAAAATTAATTTGAGAGTATATATATTAGAGATTTAAGAAATCAAAAGCAGACTTTAACTTAAAAAGAAGGATATATTTTATTACATAGATATATATTCACTTTCAAGATCATATTTCATTACATAAAGACAGATATTTTGATTACGGTTAAGATTAAAGCATATATATATATACACATATTTTTTTTTTAGTGATCATGACTTTGCAATTAAAAATTCTAATTTAATCATTTATGTAAGATTCAATGATTAAAAAATATTAATTATGTTTCGTCAACAAAAGACTTTAGAGAATATTGCTCTGTGTTGTATTCTTATAAAAGTTTTTTTGAAATGAAGTTTTCGCTTTGCTTGGGTGGACACCGATGTCAACCGGGGGATTAACTTTTGAGCATACCGTCAATTGAAGATAAATTAACTTAATTGTTTGAATCTATTTTATGGTGTGAGAGATTTTTTTTTAAAAGATCTGTCAATCATAACAATTTTAACAGTTGAATTAAGCTATTTTGGTAAATAGAGTCAACCCAATAACTTCTTCATTTGTGGACTTTTTTCATGTGGTTATGAGTAGTAGTAATATTTCGGTGCCATGTTATTAATTGATTACTACCGTGAAATTTAAAAAGATTATACTAATGTGTAAATAAAGCATCAAATCATCATAATATCTACAAAAGTGGGTGTCACACCGATTTTAAAAGAACCCACTCTTCTATTGCAAGTATGGTGAAAACCAAGTTCCTTATAAAATATTAGGAATAGGAAAAATCAAAACGGTTGCTTCCTATCATTTTCGAAAATATATTTAACAAATAATTTTTTTAAAAATGAGGATATGTATATAATTTTAAAAAGGCCACCTATCCTTGTAATTAATAATAGATAGATAAAATGAAGTATTAGCTATTTAATTTCTCTCAAGTAAGCACTCAGATCCAAATATTATTATATGAAAAAGAAAATGTTACAAAAACTAATCTTACCATAACATGAATATTATGGTTTCAAGAAGAATAAAAAAATGGATTTATAACAAGGAAAGTATGTCAAATTTGCTGTTTCCTTAATAAAATGGTCACTATCTATACAATTGATTGAAGTTACATGTCCAAGCCAGAAGATTGAACATGCTTACCATTATAAAGGAGGAAAAAGATTGAGATAAGAATAAGAGATACATAATGAGAGGGATGTCAATTCTCATCCCATGAATACCCCCTTCATTTAATTCAGTGCAAAGAACCTTCCCAAGAAGCCAGGGAAAATCTCAACCATCATGTTACTTTCCGTATCAGATGGCTATAGTGCTGTAGACTTAAGATAAAAGCACTTACCTACTTGATTAAATTTTTTTAGACAGGCCTAGTTAGAAGTCGTGTCTATTATGAAAATCCTATAATTATATGTGACGAAAATATTTTGTTTCAAAGGTTGTCACCGCAGTGATGTTGATTGACTGTGACGATTGATATGTGTATATTAATGAGTGCTGATGGTTGAAAGACTAGTGTTACTTGAACATTCACGTAATCTTTTGCATTACAAATGGTAACATCCAAACATCACGGAACACATTTAAATTAGTTTAATTGGACCTACTTTATAGACTCTGCGCCGAGCTATATTATATTATATTATATGCTCTCATGCATTATTTATACTATAAGGTGGAATTTTCATACTATATATATACATGTATTTAAGCCTCTCACTGTGAAGAAAAGAATATAATGGCAGTGAGCACTAGCAGTTACAATGGATCAAGAGCCATGATTGTGGAGTGGACTAATTAAAAATCATTTGGGTGTGGTTAATTAGAATTTCAATTCACCATGCTGAATCTTGAAAGTTGATGGCAAAGAACAAAGGAGGTGGCCACCTACTGCAAAGCAAAACTGTTAACTTAGCAGCAGCTAGCATGATTGTAACTTTTCTAATCATAGAGCATCCATTTGGCACTGTAATATAATGATGAGTGTGGGAAAGAACAGTAAAATAAGAATGAATGATATGGAGAAGGGAAATGAGAGTGAATTTTAATCATCAAAGGACCATAGTAATAAGGGAATATAAATGATGATGATCATGAACATGAAACGTGCGGCCATCATGAACCAATGAAACGAGCCCTCTTTACTGTCACACATATCTCACCCTTTCCTTTCCCCAACTTTTTCTTTATTGATCAGATAAGTTGGTGGGGTGACCATGTCTCTGCAATGTTATGTTACTGTCTAGCCCACTTGTCCTGCCTCGGATTATCCCTTTTCTCTTTCTTCTTATTTCCACTTTTTGTAAAATACATATTTAAGATCAAATTTAAGCAATTCGAAATTATATATATTTATATATATAATATATATATATATATATATATACACACATACTTTTACATACTTGATTCTTTTTTTATTTATTTATTTTTCGCTCCATCTATTCTTTCAATGTGTTTTTGCTTGTTTCCGATGGTTGTCGAGACTACCAGTTGACATAAGAGAGCTCTACATTGATTGGCCATTAAAATAAAGCAGGTATAAAATTGAACATAAAATTTACTTGTGTGAAAGAAGAAATCAAACATACCCTTTAGAAGTACTTGTCTAAAAAGATGACCTAAGATAAGAACATAAAAGACATGTCATTTGCCATGACCCTAGTAAAAATCTACGGAGACATAAAAGCTAAGCTAAGCTGTTATTACAGCAAACCTAGTCTGAGAAATAGGAAGAAAAAGGTTGTTAGAGATTCAGCTAATCGGAGCTTTATGGTCCAATTTAGAGTATACTTTTAAAAGTAAAAAAAAAGTGATTTTGAACGGTGGTAGCTATGTGATGTGTGTTAAGAAAGGAACGGAGGGAGGTTAATGTCTTGGATTATTACTGGGTCGGAGTCATTCACATGAACAAACCACACATTCACTCTCACTTGCCTGCGTATAAAGGGGGTAGTAGAAAATAGAGGTGAATGTAGGAAAAAGCTGTGGACACCATCCAATGTCACGAAGCAATCACGTGGCTCACCAGTCGAGGCTCTAAAACTCTCATTCCCCGATAAACATTGAATGAAAAGCACATGTCACCACACCTGAAGGTGCAGTAGTTACTAGACCAACACCACCCTTGCTTTTTGCCTTCTTCCATTTGCTAGTAACTCAAAATGTGTGGAGGGAGGAGGCTTCTGAAGGCACCATATATGCAGATGTTAAGACACTCCTTCCATTTGAATTATCACCGCGCTACAACTTCTACAATCTAAATTCCAATAAAATAATGCAGTATCCAGTCAATCAGACACAAAATAAAATTTTCGTCAATAGTATATTTAATTTTTAAAAAAACTATTTTTCATGTACATATATGGGTATAATTTTTTAGAATTTATTAAGTCTTACACCTAAAAGTAATTTTATTGAATTATCTCAATCAGTACCGCCACCACAGAATACTAACTGATTTTAACAAGGAAAAAGCTGTCCAAGCGCCTGTGCTATCTGTGCAAACCCATTTTTAGTTGGACAAATCAATTTCACCCAAATAAACAAACAGGTTCTATGAACTCAATAATAATAATAATAATAAAATTTTCCGAGAAGTTCAGGCAAAATAAAATTTCTGGAGAGAAAAATAACAAGTTTTGCATTTAATTTTTATAGCTTTTACTAATTTATTAATAGGATTTGGATATACGAAGATCAACTGTTTCCGGCAAGCAAAAAATAGCTGCACAGTAAGTTGTTATTTTAAAATTTTCAAATTTAAGTTGTAAATTTCTTTTTAGAAAATATATTATGACTACACGTTATATAATTTTTTCACTTCATTATTTTCACACAACCAATTTTTCTAAGTTTATTTTTAAAAATATCTTCTCAGGAATAAATTATTTCAATATTAATTCTTGTAAGATTAAATCATTATTTTTTCAAATCAAATCTATCAGAACCTTAATCAAGCAAACCTTAAAACCTTTTGGGTGAAAAGAGAACTTTATTTATTATCAGAGAATAATGACATCATTACAGGTTCCTCACTCGTAACAAGGTTACAATATCATTGTTACTTCGTTGGAAAGGTTGCATGTTCTACAGTCTTCAGTTTAACCTATTTTCGACGGAGAGATTAGCACAATATAGGCTACAAAAAAGGGATTTGGATACGAGTTTAAGATTAAAGTAAAAAACCGATGGAAACGGCTATTAAAATACTTTAACAGCTCTGTTGAACTGCGGAAACCTTTTCACCGCTTGAGCCATTCCTCGGTTCACATGCGTCAGGACTCAAATGTCCAACGACTCTGAAAGTCATTATACTCATGCGATCGTTTATTCCACAGCTTCGATCGACTCTGAATAGAACAAGAGAAAGTAAGGCATTACATTTACATCAAATCCATTAACGTAGTTGCAAACAATAAACCAGGTTGCATTAGCATATGAATATAGATTTTATTCCTTCCGAAGGTTAATAATGATAATGACAACCGAGTCCACCAATATCTTACTATGAAAAGAGCAGGGTAACACTAACATGCATATATATATCATGCACAAGTCTGTAAAATATCATAATGATATGAAAAGTAATATAACAACAGTATCCGCTGCCACATATAACATAAACAAAGTTCCGATGTCTTTTATTTATCAGAATTGGAATCTCGTAGCTCAGCCAAAGTGTAAAATGAATGGCAATTGAGCTCAAGCCTTGTGTATACCCTCCTGTACCTAGGCTCAAACACCAACCATAACAGCAACAACATAGGCCGTTCAACAGTGTTAAATTATAATAGTGTAGCATACCGAGCATGTACCTGCACCAACAATTCTCACATCAAATGCTTCATCAATTCCATGGCTCACCCCACGGCACAATCACTCAAGAAATTCTTAAAGCAGAATCATCTTCCATTCTCCACACATAGCCAGGCATGTCCAATCTGGGCCCCGAAATGGTCCTGTAAACATAAAGCTTCTCGACAGGACTACTCTCTGGCCTTGAATCTGGAGGTCCTCTTTCCTCAATGACTTCAACATTAAGTTGTAGCATTTTCTTACCCAGCAGCTTACATGCTCCAAAACTCACCATGCAAGAGGACATCCAAAGGGATCGCATTGTCTCCAGCTTAACAGCATTTGCCAAAAGGGCTTTGTCACCAAAGGGGCAGTCCCTTATCTCCAGCTTCCTAAGATTGTCACACCCGGACAGCACATGATGGAGTCCCAAATCACTCTCTCCAGCAAAAGCCACAGAAAGCATCTCAAGCTTCTTACCGTAAGTCCCAATATACTCAAAAACACGATCAGTAAGAAGCCCAGAAAGGGAAAGGCGCCGAAGATCCTTGCAATGCTCTACAATGGCCCCGAAACCAGTATCCAGAGATTGACCGGTAAGATAGTCAGGAGTCCGAGGCTCAATAATACATAGTCTAAAACGAGTCATATTAGGCCTGTTTCGGGCAATTGTATTTAAGGCAGCATTAGACATTTGACGACAAAAGTATAGAACTGACTGGAGCTTGGGGCAGCCTTCAGACACAGAAACAAGGCCCTGCTCTGTCAACGCCACATTTGGTTCTAATCCAAATGCGTCAGATGGAAACACCCTCAACTCCCTCAAATCCTTGCAAGATGCAGCAACCACTTCAAGGCCAGCATCTTCTATGTAATCCAGCACCTATACAGCAAATACATTTTGGTCAGCACAAGAATTTTACTACACAACTTTGTGACAGTGGATCAGGATACAAACATATTAAGACAAATCAGACATACCCATAACCGCTGCAAACTCTCACATTGACTAACAAGCTTGATAAGATCGGGGCTCTGAATCGTAGCATAACTCAAGTTTAGTGATGTCAGCCGGGAGCAGATAGGGTAGACAGCTGGAAGGTAAGACGGGAGCACATCCCAAAAGCCAGACAAGCTCTTCAATTGCTGGCACCCAGAAAATGCTGCCGCCAGGTTCGAGAATACCTCAGGTCGCATCTCAGTCGTGTAGGTTCCAGTGCCTAACTCAACCAGCTGAGGAGCTCCACGAAGAAGGTTGGCTAGCCTATCAAGGGGCACAGCACGGTTGAGGCAAAGCGTCTGCAGGTTGGGACACCTACTAACCAGGCGTTCTAGAGCAGACAAATTCACCTCATTGCCTAAGCAAGAAATGTTGAGGGAAACCAACGATGTATACGACTCAGGAAAATGGCTTAGCCAGTGTCCACAAATGTCATCCACTTCACTCTCCCTCAAGTCCAATTCCCTCAAATTCCTACAATTCATTAGCACCCGACAGATTTATCAATGCATGTTAAGGGGTACGCCAGTTCAGAAACCAGAAATTCCTTAGTCTTGGAACCAAAATAAAGAACGCAGTAAATTCAAACACCCTGAGCCAAATCGGGCATCTTCGTCATTGTCATTGACAATGACCCAGACCCAGTAGTTTTCACAAACAATATATAAAAGCGAGTTAACCAAATAGAATTTGGACTAAAATTTCTCCCAACGGAACCTCCCATTACACGTGTCAGAAGCTGCAAAGTTGTGGATGCAAGGAAGTAGAGAACCAAATGAAAAGAAGAAAGCATTTCATTTCATTTCAATTTCACTTCTTCAAAATGAAAAAAAAAAAAAAAAAAAGAAGCAAAATGCGAAGAAAGAGAGAAACAAAATGAGAAAGAAAGAAATAAACCTGCAATTGGCGGCAATGGTAGCAAGTCCATCAGTAGTGAAACCCTCGCAAGAGGAGAGAACCAACACGCTGAAATTCTTAAACGATTTAGCAATAATCTCCAAACAGTCGTCGGTTACGACCATCCTCTTGAGCCTAATCTCCTGAAGGCAGGGATAAGCATCAGCCATGGCCATGATCCAAGGGCGCACATAAGCGCCCCAACCCTCGGGTACCAAATTGAAGTCAGCGAAGTGAGGCTTCCCCTTGATGGTGATGGATCTCAACTTAGGGAACCGTTTTATCACCGTTGAAGGACTCACAGCGTAGCAGTTCCCCACAAACACCCTCTTCCTGCACCATCTCTCGATCTCGTACCACGATTTGCACACCAGCGAGATCGAACCACGGTCCTTGTCACACTCAATGAACGAAAACACGTGCTCCAGAACCTCCTCTGGGAATGAATACGCCACTCTCCGCATCTCAAACGGAAGCAACCAACTCTCTACCTGACTAAACGCTGTCGTTTTCTCGATCAATATGAATATATGAATATACCTTTGTGCTACTGTTAGATCTGAGACGCCATTGCAAGGGGGTGCTTGTAGTTGCCAGAGAGAGAGAGAGAGAGAGAGGATAAGGAGTTTGTGTTGTACCGGGTGAGGTTAGAAAGTAACTAGGGTTAAATAGGTGGGGTGGAGGGGGGTTTTCTGAAGGCTGTGTGATCGGCGATTGTGGAGGAGACACGTGGATGTGAGTGAGTTGAGCCATTGGATGGGCCGCGTTCGATGGTGATCTTATCCGTTGAGATAAATGGACGAGAAGGAGATGTTGTTTTTCTCGCGAGATATTGGGGTGGTTTTATGAGGTGTTATCATGTCTACCGTAATGGGTGTGGAAAGGAATCTCATGATTCTCGTTGCATGGCTTGATTGAGAGCGAGAGAGATGGATGTTAGCTGGGACCACATTTTGGCCCAAACATTAAATTCAAAATAATAATATACTTTTATAAAAATATTTTATCTTCATGGAAGTCGTTGAAATCGTATGAATAAAATATTGTTTGTTTTTACATAAAACTGTATGGTAATTGTGTGTGAGTGTGTTCAACAAATAACAAAGTTTGAAAAAGAGACGACAATGTACACTGATAAATAATAAAAATAGGCATCATAGTTCTATTAGCATCATTTATTTTTCAAAAAAAAAAAGACTTAGAAAGAATTCTACCATGTAATTAAAATTATTAGTTGTGCTAGATATCAAAAATTATCCAACTCAAGGTATATAAAAAGATACGATCTTTTGATTTACTTTCGTTTGATATATTTACATCTTTTTACCACCTTCTTTTTATGTGATACTATAATTATTCCTTCTAACAATACATTTGCAGTGCTTAAATACTTAATACATAATACAAAATTATACCTAGTTTTTATTTAAAATTAAAAAGTATTAAAAGTTAATGTATATATAATATTAAATATTATTTTCCCCATACATCTTTTTTTCATTGATTCTACCTTCAGATTTATCGACTCACTTGCTTTCTTGGGTTGGTGTTGGCTGTAGTAAAAGAGAAGGAATATGCTTATTAATTATTTGGGTAAGTACAGTGTGTGGTCTTAATGGTTGCATAGAAATAGAATTATATTTTTCAATGGTGTTTTGGATGAGAGGGAAGTCATAGATTCTATTATTCTGAGATCCTGGAAATGGTTATCACTTGTTAGTAAGGGAGAAGCTATTATGTTAGCTGATTAGTATTTGAACCCACGAAATTGCATCTGTCTTAATTTTGTATAAATATATTTTTGTTTTTTATTTCTCTGAGTAAGTAGTTTTGTGTATATGGGTTTTGAGTTTTCTTTAAACTCTTTTTAATAAGATTTGTTTTGCCTTAAAAAAAAAGTATGACAAAAAGACTATAAAAAGATTTAAAATATATATTTCATAATCTAAAAAGGAGTTTAAATATGAGTTAACAGGATTATATTTTTTAGCTATTTTGTGAATTAATAAAATGATTCTGTGTTTATGAATTTGCATAAAAATGGGAAATGATGACATAATGGGCGTCCAATCATATGTGACTGTTTTCATTCAAACAGTGAGTGTGAGATATGAAAATAAAATAAATTTACTAACAGAAGCGGCCAACGTGGCCCACTTTTTAATGACGCTAGCATCTATTCTAATCATCCATTCCATTATTCACACTACTCTTCCTGTTTCCCTAATTATTGCCATCCTTTAACTAACCAAATAAATGCAACATAATCACCCAATCCTTCCTCTTTATACACTTACTGTTTTTATTTTCTTCCTCCATTTTTCTCTTTTCTAAGCTCATAACTCAAATATAATTATAAATCATTTTAACACAAATAAATATCACTTTTATATTTAATTTATACTTCATAACTCTTTATAAGTTAATAATATATTTTAAATTTAATAAGTAAACGGTGACAGCTTTCTTTTTAGGAAAAAGGTGACAGTTTACGTCTCTCTTATAGTATGTTCAGTCAAAATTATAAAATACACCGAATTAATTTTTTTATTAAACACGAAAAGTCATAAAACACTACCTACTGTTTACAATTTAATAACACACTACATTAACCCTCTTTTGCGTGTGCATAACATAGACACTTTCCTTTAATTCTATTGGTCCCTTTACCTTAATAGTATGATATTATTGTGGCAATAAATATTAACCTTAACCATGACATGATGACAAGTAATTCTCTTAAAGGTCATTATTAATATACAACGATGGTCCAATGCTCATTTATATCCAAGTTGATAAATGGTTTTAGTCTTTTAAAGAGAATTAAAGTGAACAGTATATGATTTTTAAATAATTAACAAAAGTACTCAAACCAAAATAAAAAAGCGAGCAAATCAAATACATTTAGACCCTTTGACAGTTCTAACGCACATTATTCTATATTATCATTATAGTAATTATAAGTTAACAAATATTTATACAAATGTCTTAAATTTAATAACTTAGAAATATAAAAAATAGATTATAATGTAAAATATAATTGGTTTAAATAAAAAAATTCAAGTTACAATAAGAAAAGAGTACATTTTAAAAAAATTAAAAACGTAATAAGTTATTAAGATTTGAGATAAAAATAACAAATTTTAATGTATAAAAAATGCTATATGATAAGAAGTCACTTTCTATAATAATATTAATAAAAAAAAAAACATATAACAGGGGATGTACTTTCAAGTATATTGAGATTTGATTTGAGGCTGTTGAACATACTGATTAGGTTCACTTTTCATTATATATATAGAAAAAGTATATTATAAGGAGTTAAATCTACTTTGAAAATAATGCTAATTAAATAAATTAACATTTTCTTATTATTATTGTTTTTTTTTTCAAATAACTGGGTAGATAAATTTATTTCCAAAAAGACCCATTATATTATGAAAAAAGTTACATTGCAATAAGTAAGATGCTTTGAAACCTTACTCTTTTAAGTCAAAAAGCTTTTAAGAGAACTATGAAATAAGGCACTTTAGCATTTAATATGTCATAATATTGTTAAAGTATTTAATACGTCATAATATTGTTAAACCTGCTTTGAGTGAGCGTAAATAGATATTCACTCACATTCTGTCAACGAAAATGTTATATTTTTTAAATAAAAATTTATACTCTTTATTCCACACAAAAAAAATCATGTCCAATAACCTTTGTATATAAGTCTATATTAGGTTGTTTTAAATGAATTAACTATTAAATAATTTTTTCAATTATTTTTTAAATCAGGGCATAATTTTAGACCTTAAAAAATCATGTTAAATAAATAAATCAATCAAATTTACACTTTAAAGTTATAAACTAGAAAAAAAAATATTTAAAATAAATTTCGAGGCAACCTAATTTATTTCCAACGGTGGACATTGCATATTTACACTCGTTAAAATTAAACCTGCTTGGTAATGGCAAATGAGTCAATTGACCTTCGTAATATTTTATTATCTAAGAGACGGTATAAATACAGCTGTATCCATATATATATATATATATATATTAAATAGACAATATTATCCGAGTATGATAAAAAAAAAGTTATAGAGTGGTGAATTATATTAATCAAAATAAGAATAATTATATATGTGCTCTAATGGGTTTATTCTCATCTTTTGGTGAATTTTTCTCACTTTTATATAGTTTTATATAATCCATTTTAAATATATAGTTTAATAAACCAAAAATAAAATCAATATTAAATAAAAATGAATAGAATGGAATTAAATGGATAAGAGATAATAAATATTTGCATAGTGCTAACATTTTATCATTATTTTAAAAACAGCAAAAAGCTTTCCCTAAAATAATAGTAATTCCCGCTTATAAAGGTAAATAATCATTACATTAATATCTCTTTTTCGTTTTTAGTCCAATAATTTGAATAAAACAACATAGAGCGAGCTGAGTTGTCTTGCACGTATACTTGAATTTTCTATTGGAAAAATATCGCGATTAAGATTTAAAGACACATTAATCAATTGAGTTGATATAAGGGTTAAATATTAAGCCCACGCACGGTTCTCCGGGAATCTCTCAGTCACATTAATTAATTAATTAGTTAAACAGCGTATTAGTATAGTATTAGCTTCTGAAAAAAGAAGTGGAAAGATGTATAATGGTTAATTGAAATATATACGTGGTGCGAAATGAATATAATTAGTCTTAAATACAAGAGTTGGATTTGATGAAGAGGGTATTAAATTGTTGTCTTGGTTTGCACATGTTGTTGATGGCAATAGAGGTGGTGCACGTGAAGTGGCACAAGCAAGATAAAAAAAGAAAGAAATAAATGCTGAGGAGAAGAGTGGAAGCAACTTAGAATGAATTCATGGGGATAGATCTGAATGCATGGCGGCACTGGTGCTGATAATTTGGTATATGGATGGAAAAAGGCACAGCTTTATTGCTTGAAATGAACAGGGAATGGGAATTGGGTGCTGTAACCAGCTCAATCTTGTTCACATCACTCTACCGACAAATTCTATTTAACTTGGGATCATAATTCACTCGCCTTAATTCCTTGATGTCGATGTATACACAACTCATCCTCCTCAGTTTAATTTCTGAATTGACACATCCCACACGAAACAATTGCTTCATTTTATTTTTTATTTTTTATTTTATGATGTCGAATTAGGAAATATTAAATATATTTACTATTACAAATCTATACTTTTTGTTTACTAAATATATATACTGTACAAGAATTTAAAATTGTTCTTTCTTAGTATCGCCTGTGTTGTGTATATTTAAACTTTTCAAATGTAAATTTTGTTTTTATTTGTAAGCACTTGTCTTGATTTTAATGTGCTTCTACAGAAATTAGTTATGGAGTTGAATAATTAAAAATCATTTGGGTGTGGTTAGTTTTATATATATTTTTTAGGTAAAGGTTAATTATACATATAATTAAAAATCATGTGTGTTCTATCTATATGCATAAGACTTTTTTTCACACATCATTCTAATATATATATATATATATATATATATATATATATATATATATATATATATATATATATATATAACTTGCACCTTTAAATGAAATCAGTTAAGTAAAACAAAAAATTATCTTATAA